TTAATAGTAGTGTTGATTTATTTATTTATTTATTTATTTATTTTTTGAGTAAATTCAAGTCCATTACAAGGGGGGAAATAGAGGAGGGGGGACTCGAACCCTAAACATTTACCCTATTGGTAAATGATAGGTACCAACTCTCCTAATAAGGGTTGGTTAATAGTAGAGGGTTGGTTAATAGTAGTGTTGATATTAATATTAGTATTAGACTATTAATATTAATCATCTTATTAATATTATGATTAGTATTAATATTAGTATTAATTATCGTATTAATATTAATATTAGTATTATTAGTGCTGGTTTTAGTATTAATATTAGTATTGGTATTAGTATTATCAATGTTGGTTTTAGTATTTGTATTAGTAGTTGTTGTTAGTGTAATATTAGTGTCAATATTAGGGTGCCATATGCAATTGTATGCTGCAATGCCCAGAGTTAAAAGTAGATTTGAGATAAAGATATTTATCAACTCAAAATCGGGCGATATAACTAACTTTACGAGCAATGTTGTGTGCACAAAAGATTTTCAGCGAATATGAAGGTAAATCACAAACAAATGTATATTTTGATTCAATAAAACATTTTTTATTGCTATTATTTACATGTATGTCAACTGTTCTAAGTTTTCGTTCGTATTATTTTATCAAAAATTCAAACTTATTTGCAAATTGCAAATAAGGAAAATCATTTATATATATATATATATATATCAAAATTACCCCCAATCCATTGAAACCCATTCAATTCCAATTTCATAATTTACACCCCAATTTAGCCAAATTTCATCAATTAACCAATTTTAACCATAATTTCAATTTTGACCCGCCACAATCGGAGACCGCCGGTCTCCGGCGTTGACTTTTTTTCTTTTATTTTTGAAAACTTTTTTTTTCCGGTAGTTCAACCGCCGTTGACCGCCGGGTCTCCGACGTTGATTTTTTTTTTATATATAATTTTGTTTTTTCTTAAAACAAATATTTTAATTAATATTATTGTCTTGACTACTAAATTACTGTCTTCAACATTTATTTAACTGTCGGAGCTCCTACAGTTATTTGACTGTCGGAGACAGTAATTTAACTGTTAATTGACCTTTTTTTTTTCTTCAAAAATATTTTAATTAATATTACTGTCTTGGTTGCTAAATTACTGTCACCAGCAGTTATTTAACTGTCGGATACAGTAATTTAAATGTTAATTGACTTTTTTTTTCTTAAAAAATATAATTTTAATTAATATTACTGTCTTGGCTGCTAAATTACTGTCTCCAACAGTTATTTAACTACCGGAGACAGTTAAATACTGTTAATTGACTTTTTTTTTTTCTTAAAAAAAATTATCTTAATTAATATTACTGTCTTGGCTGCTAAATTACTGTGTCCAACAGTAATTTAACTGTCTGAGACAGTAATATTAATAATATTATTGTTCGCAAAAATAGTATTCATAATATTACCGTCCCAAACAGTAATATTACTGTCTGAAACATTAATTTAGTAGCCAAGACAGTAATATTAATTAAAAAAAAAATTCTAAGAAAAAAAATCGAAAAAAGAAAAAAAGTCAACGCTGGAGACCGGCGGTCAACGGTGGTTGACCGAAAAAATTTCATAAAAAAAAGTCAACTCCGGAGACCGGCGGTCTCCGGTGGTCAAGCCCGGAATCTGGCCGGAAAACAAAATTATTATTTTGGGAGTTAATGTGTTATATTTGTTTAAATCCGAGGTCAATGTAAATATTAAGGAAGTTAGAGCTTAATGGATAGAATTGATAAGAATTATATTATGGGGATGAGTTTATTTGAAAGACTGTTTTTTTGTGGACCAATGTGCATTTAAGTCCCATGTGATAAGCCTATTTGCCATTCGCCCATAAAAGAAAGACATACTAGATCAAACCCTAAATAACTCTAGTGGCATTTTGGTAATTATACTATTTCAGTTATTTAACAATTATTATCATTTTATGATAATTAAGTTTATATAATTTTTAGAGGAGTCGGTATTTTATTATAATATAGTGTGATTCATTTTCCTGTTATACTTGTTAATTGTTATTGTCTTGTATTTAAATAATTGTTCTTTTCGTTTTTGAAATATTGTTCAGTGCATTGCACGGGGAGAAATCTATTTAGTTTTAATTTTAATTATGTTTTCCAGTTAATAATATATGGGGTAATGGCAAATAGGCCCATGACAAGGGCACTTAATAAAAATAGGGATATCCAACTTTTTTGTCTTTCAAATAAATCCACCCCATTCAAACTTATTTGCAAATAAGGAAAATCTAACAAACTTCCAATATAATATTAATAATAACACAAAATTGAATCCCATTGTTTTATTTCATGGTGAGCCAATTCTTGAACCAAAGAGCTGATTGTTTAGGAATTCTTTTCAGCCCATTTTCATGATCCACATAACAAAGCCCGAACCGAATAGTGTACCCGGAGACCCATTCAAAATTATCCAAAAATGACCATGCAAAAAAACCCTTCACATTTACACCTTGTCTACCAACAAAAAAATAATAATAAAATTAGTACCAAAAAAAAAACTATTTCAATAATTCAGAATTCAAAAAAAAAAAAAAAAAAAAAAAAACTTACTGTATTGCTTGTAGAACACCTCGGATATGGCGATTGTAGAAATCAATTCTTTGTACGTCTTTGATACCGTTTTCTACGTCGCCGTTATTCTGATCGCCAATACCTTCGAATATATTTTTTTTAAATAAATAAATAAAATTAAGTCAAATTGTTAATTAAAATATTTTATTAGTATATATAACTATATATGCCTACCGGTTTCGGTAATGTAAATAGTTGGATTATTGTAATTTTCTTTCGTGTAGATTAGAAGTTCGTAAAGTCCTTCCGGGTAGACATAAAATCCGTTCACTCCGGTCTATACATACATAAATAAATCATTTATTAGCACGAAAAAATAACGAGATAATAATTGAAGGAAATCGTAGGTTAATTTACTCGTTAATTACCGGGTCACCGATGGGTACACCTTCAATATCCGCTGCAAAAAAAAATTACAAAAAAAAAAAAAAAATAATTAAAATTAAAATTGTAAGGTTGAATAAAATGAATTGAAAATTGAAAAACTTACATGAAAAATGAACCATATTATCAGTAGTGCTGGTAATATTGGAATTGGGAGAGGAAATATGAGAAGCATAAGTGGCAGTATAGTAATTTACTCCCAGAAAATCAAATGATCCTTTAAGCAGTGAACTTTCCTCTTTAGTGAAATTTGGTAACCGATTTCCAATTAAGGATTTCATTATTTCTGGATAATCTCCATATACTACAGGTTTAAGCAGTGAACTTTCCTCTTTATTAAAAAAAAAAAGAAGGCCTTCCAATTAAGGATTTCATTATTTCTGGATAATCTCCATATACTACAGGATGAATAAACCTACCAAAAAAGAATTAAAAAAAAAAAGAAGGCCTTAGAAATATATTATATCAATAAAATATATACTTTTTTTAATTATTTTTTATTTGGTTGCAATTATTTGTCGCCTTGGAATTTTTTTCGTCTAGTATTATCAACTTTAAAATATGAATAATAATTTATTTTTTTTCCTGATGTTACCGTTATGTAAGTATTTGTATGTTTTTGGCAAAGATTCGGTCAAAATGGATGTAAATATTAAACGACATATAATTTGAAATAAATTTACTAACCATCCGTACATAAAATCAAGAGCTCGTTGCGCTGCTTCGATGTCGAGTTTAGTACTCGAATGTGGTACCATCCAATTAGACACTTGTGTTATCCCTATTTCTCCCTTCTGAGTTTCCTATTTCATTAAAAATAATATGTTTTTTATTTGTAAATACATATTTGTCAATTAAACATAAATAATCCAAAAAAAGAATTATTTTTATATATATTCGAAAGGGGTAACAAAAAAATAATCATAATTAACCTGATATTTCTCCTTGTAAAGTTTGATGGTTGAGGCATGGCAAATGAGCATATGATGGGCGGCAATATAAGGCTCGGTGGCGGAATCCCCTTGCACGCAATTGTCCGGAGAAGAGCACCGCCCCGGAGCAAAGTTTCCGGCGAAGCCTCCATCGTAGCCACATATGATGAAAATGTACGGCTCGTTAACCGTGATCCAATGCTTTATCCGGTCGCCAAATTCTTCGAAGCAAAGCTCCGCAAAATTTCTAAAATCATCACTGCCACCAAAACAAAACATGTAAACATTAATTACTTTTTTCTATATTTTTCTTCTATTATTTTATTTTTATTTATTTCGTTACAAATGAATTATCAACCACATGCGTGCACTGAGTAAAAGGTAATGCCTTCCTTGTTCACTCCCCCACCTAGCTTTCCATCTGAATTATATATATTATTGATGATGCTAAAATGTACATTACCTGGGGTAGTATAGAAAATGAGTTGGGAGAGTAAAGCGGATCAGTAGCTCGACAACTTGATGATCCTGAGGTCCCTGCGAAATGAACACACGTGAACTACGCCGGGGTTGATCCGGTGAAAACCCCTCCATAAAATGGCGCCTCTATACGGATCGTGGAGATGGTAGAGAGAATTAAACTCTAGATTGTTGGTGAATAATCCAAACCTACCTTAACAAATGAGTAAAACATCTATTTATATGTCCTTGAGTGGGTTGGGCTTACTTTGTTGGGCCCAAGCCTTATTTTGAAGGTGCTTGGGCTTTTGTATAGTGGGCCTAATTATTAGGCGAATTAGGGGGCCCATTGGGTCGGCCCAATTAGGTATATCATTAAGCCCCCAACTCTCGGGTCGAGATGGAAGATTTGTTGAGGGGAATCCGGCTCGTGTCGAGAGTTAATTGTGTTGTGGCTTGAATAGTTTCGTTGGCGTTGAATTGATCTCCTTAATTAAATAAGGGATAATCATATTTATATGGCAGCGAGGTATATATTTAAGGATTTAAATAATATACCAGGACCAGATAAATAGACTCCTTTTGCGGTGGAGAGAATTAAACTTCAACTCCTGCGTAATAAATATGGGTAAGTATTTTTAACTTTAGGTCTTCTTCTGTGCTCTTGCGTCTCTAAAATTTTTTTTTTGGTAGAGTAGAAATTTTTTGTTTCTTGATTGTTTTTTCTTGTTTTACGGAGAAAAATATTTATCATGCCGAACCCGGGTAAGTCGAAATCTTTGCGATTTAAACTTCGAGATCCGGTTGAAGGGGCGAGAATACTTTTAGTACGGTGGGAATGGAACGCGAGAAACTAGTGATATCAGGTGCGAAAATCGGATCCTCGTCGGCTAGTGCACGGATCGAGGCGAAAAGGGGGTTGTCGGTACGGTGGCTGCTGCCGTCGGCTTGAGCCGCGCAGCCCCGTGCCATAGTTTGGGAGAGCGCGCGCTTCGAGGGAGCCAAAGGAGTTGGCAGCTCGGCTTTGAATAATGGCTCGGTAGGTGGCACTATGACCGAGGATAGGAGAGAGAGGGAGATGGGGGCTGCTGATGTGATTGGCTCTTTGACCGATGAGAGGAGAGAGAGAGAGAGATTAGGCCTGCTGATGTACCTGAGGTGGTTGGTGCATTTACCGAGGAGAGGAAAGAGAGAGAGATTACTCTGCTGACGCGCGCGTTAAGCACGCCTCCCGAGGCACGCGCGCACGTTAGCTGACTGGACAGAGAGAGATAGACGCGTGGGTGGGGCACAACAAGGGCGACGCGCGCGCGTCCGGCGCGCCGGCCGAGGGTGACTCGCGCGCGTGTGATGGTGTTGGGGCTGTTGCGCGTGGCAGCACTTTGGGGGCGAGCGTGGGAGCGCGTGAGCGCGCGTCTGAAGGTGGTTCAAGCGCGTGTGGTGGCGCGCGTCTTGAGACGACGCGCGCGCGGTAGGGCGCGTCCGGAGCTATTTTTCGGCGCGATTTGCGCGAGCGGTTCGGGCGAAATGAGGAGCGATTCTTCGTTGAAGATGATGTGAATGTTAGGGGTTACGTAAGGCGAGAAATCATTGAATCTTGGAGTGACGATGTAGAAGCGAGTAATAATGTTAATATTTGCCCTACTGTTGACGAAGTGGGTTCCAGTAGACGTCGTTATAGGCGTCAAGTCATGGATTTTGGGAGTGATAGCGATGAGTCTACTCAATCGCATTCGGCGAGTGAGCATGCGGTGGCGAGTAGTGAAGTTGAGACGATGGTCGGGGAGGAGGAGGAAGATGATATTCCGCCGGGTGATGTTGAGATTGATACGAGGAGGCAAAAGAAAATTAAGCCAATTAATTTGAACTTTGTTAATTTTGATAGTGTACTGACAGAAGAACATTTGCAGTCTATTCGTCGTCTAGTTGGAGCGCCAAGAAATATCGAGTTGTTGTTGCCTCAGAAGGGCGACCGTTTGTGTTCGCCACCCGATGGGTTTCATACGGTTTTCTTGGCGTACGTGACGTATACATCTCAGATTACTCCGCATCCGACCTTGTTGAAGATTTGAGAGGAATTCAAGATAGGGTATAGCAGCTAACCCCTACTGCGGTTCTTATGTTCGAGGCGTTTCACCATAGAGTGTCCCGAGTAGGTTTGTCTGTTACTGTGAGTCTGTTCAAGGCGTTATTTACGTTACATCGGCCCAATAAGCTGCCTTTCTTTTGCGTTCATCCTCGCGTTCCCTACCAATTTTTGAAGAGTGTGAAGTTATCCTTGGGGGAATGTAAATCGCGTTTCTTTTATGTGAGGGCCCCCTCTTTCGACGTTCCTCTAGTTTGGAAACCTACGTGCGAGAGTTTCAAGATTACCGCAAATATGGCGAAGAGGATTGAAGAGTCTAGGTTGTGTGATGTGGAGTTTGACCCGAGGTGTTTGATACCGAAGGCGAAGGGTCAGCACCATATATCATTTTGTTGCATTGACCTGGGTCTTTTTTTTTTTTTTTTTGTAGTTCTTTGGTTGTATATATTTCATGTCTCTTATGTGGTTGTTTTATTTTGTAGATAGGGGTATCACCTTCGCGGCACTTCGAGCTAAGGCGAATGGGACGTCGAAGAAGGCATCGAAGAAGGTTCCCTCTACGTTGGGAGGTGCTTCGGGTGGTTTGCCTCGTGAGACGGTCCATGTAGAAACTCCTCGAATGATCGAAGATGACCGTAGCACTGCTGGTGAAGTGGAAGGGCGTCCACTTACGAGAGACTGTGGCAAGGGAAAGAGGGTAGATACCGAGTATGTGGCTGTGCCTAATCGTCCACGGGTTGACCCAGAGGAGACCTATACTTTCCATGGTGGGGCAGGAAACAGTTGTTTACCTTTGGCGTGAACCGTGAAGGGAAAGAGTCGTACTAGGATGTGTCGGACCATGATTTGCCGATGTTGAGTACCTAGGGATTTGTTCGGAGTACGATCGTGCTCGGATGTCTGGTAAGGGCCCTTCTCACATGTTGGAGTTAGCTGGTGGGGACATATGTCCAGTGAGTCCTTGTTTCTTTAAAACAAGATTAAATGTAACTTCCTCTCTTCCTTTTGTAAAATTATTTATTTATTTATTTATGTTTTTTAGTTGGTAGCGACTTGGAGATATCTCATGGAGCAAAGTAGGAATGTGGAAGTTAGGAAGGAAGAGGAGCAGGCTCGAAGTCAGTCGCGTGAGGATGAACTTCTAAGCCAGTTGGAGATAGCGCGGTCCGATCTGGCTCAACGGACGGAAGAGCTTGCTTAGAGGACAGATGAGCTTGCTCAGAGGACAATGGAGCTCGAGGTTATCCGAGGTGATGCGAAGGCGTATAAGGATGATGTTCATAAGTTGAACGAGTGCTATGACCAGCTCAAAGAGAAATATGAGGTTGAGAAGCTGACGGGGAAGAGGTTTCTCGCAACGTCAGGTGGTGCTAATTTTAAGGATTCCATCGTGGAGGAAACCAAGCTTAGCTTCCGAGGTAGTGGTGAGTGTGCTACTATGATTGAGGAGCATGCTTTTCCTGTGGTCTACAAGCCCTTAGTTCGTGCCTGTCGCAAATACCTTGGTGAGGTGGGTGGTATCAGTGAGAAGGTTATTCGTGGAATGGAAGCCGGCATATCCGATGAAGAGGAGGATGAGGCAGAAGTCAACGAGACGGGCACAGAGCTCGTGGATGACACGCTTGCCGATGACCCCGCTGTGGGGGCATCTTCCGCCCGTGGTGGGGGAGTTTAGACTGATTTGCTAGGATAGTTAAATTCTTTTTTATTTATTATTTGCTAGGAATTTCTTAATTTATTTTTATCGCTGAAGTAGATGGGTATGTCCTCTACTATTTTGTTTGAATTTCTTCATTGCTTGACATTTGAAGTTTAATATCTTGAATTATTTATTTTGACATTGTCAAGAGTTAATGCGTTGCTTATATGTATTTACATTTAGCATTGTACGCGATGTACTAGAGGAGGGGATCAGTCTCCCAAGGTTTTTGTTAAGGGTCGTGCTCTTTGTTCGGACCGCTTGGGTGTTAAATATATTTGTCCGTGGCCACGTTTCAAAAGTAACACCTTGTGAAACAAATAAAAGGACTTAGACAATCCACCTGGCCAGGCTATATGGATTATCCAAATCTCTCTAAGTGTTTATAGGGTTGTATTGAATTGCACTCATAATAAGAGGTAACTTGTATTGATGTAATTGCACAGAGAGTGAAGCAAAATAAAAAAAAATGATTTATTTAATGATAGCAAATGTGCAATGTTACAAGCCTATGTAAGGAGGATGGAAATAACTTGCTAATGTCTTAGGCCTACGTGAGGCGAAGGTGAATAACTACTACTAAATCAAAGAAATTGACTCGGTAAAAATTCTTCCAAGTGATTGTACTACACTTGTTCTTCTTCCACGTCTTCCATGTATTCGTTCGTTTTGCTGTGCCTATGGTGGATTGAATTGCTTTGGCGTCTCTATGCCTGCAAAGTATAGTTGAGAAAAACATTGTTTAAACACTTGTAGGAAGACTGAGTAATTGAAGCTGGGGTGGTGTGCACTGCAATTTCACGTACCCTACTACGGGGATTGCTTTTCTTCCTCGCACTCGGAGATATGAAATTAACTCGTGAGTTGTTGTGAGTTGCTATGTGATCATGTCTGTTATTGGAATTATTTTTTCACGTTAGTATGAGTAAACAAGAGCATCCGTGTGTTGTATTCTAGTGAAAGAATTGTTACCCTTGGCGATGTAGTATGGAGTGTCTTCGCTCTTTGGGCCATTGATTGAGTAAAATGCATCCCCTCGTAATAGGTTCTCAATCTGTAAGAAAATGATGAGATGTGATTATGAATTTCTGATGTAAGTAAAATTACTAGCCCCCCAGTTTAGGTGGGACGTTTACGCACCTCCTTATGTAGTAGAAAGTTTCCAAGCATGTAGAGACAGTTTTGCGAGACGAGTGACGTGGAAGGTCGCGGAGCCTGCAGGGTTAACAATTTGAAAGTAACTTTCATATAGGAGGGGTATGGGTGGTGACTTCAACGGATCTTAAGTAAGGTAGATGTATACCTTAAGCGTAGAACCGTTTGAGGTTCCCTATATTCCATGTTCTGGGTATAGGGTGTCCGTCAGTGTTCTCGAGGCGATATGCTCCAGTGTTAACCACTTTTGTTATTTTATATGGTCCTTCCCACTTTGGACCGAGCTTTCCAATGGGGTGAGAGGCGTCAGCTTTTCGGATGACTAAATCTCCAACTTGAAAGGTTCGGGGGCGGACCTTTGAGTTATAGGCCTTGGCCATGCGTGATTTATACATCTGTTGTCGGATGCATACGATCTCTCGTAGCTCATCTACGAGGTCTAGGCTTCCCCGCATAGCTTCTTCGTTAGCTGTTGGATCATAATTGGTGATTCTCCAAGATGGTTCACCGATTTCAACGGGTGCGATAGCCTCTGCGCCGAAAGCTAGATTAAAAGGCGACTCTCCGGTTGTTGCTCGTGGGGTTGTGCGATAAGCCCATAGGGCGTTAGGAAATTCTTCCACCCACTTCCCTTTGGCATTTCCAAGCCTTGTTTTAAGGTGTTGGAGTATGGTGCGATTCGTGACCTCCATCTGGCCGTTAGCCTGTGGATTGGCTACGGATGTGAAAAACTGTTTGATGTCCAAGCCGAGACACCAATTTTTTACTTTGTCGCCGCAAAATTGGGTTCCATTATCAGAGACAATGATCCGTGGGATCCCAAAGCGACACACGATGTTCTTCTATAGGAATTGGATGACTTCCTCTTCTCGAATGCGTGCTAAGGGTTCAGCCTCCACCCATTTGGTGAAGTAATTCACTGCTACAATGAGGAATTTGCGCCCTCCCGTGGCGGGTGGGAATGGTCCAACTAAATTCATTCCCCATTGGGCGAAAGGGATGGGGCTGTCAATAGGTTGCATTAATGTCGCT